CCATTTTGACATGTCTTGATATGAGTTTCAGGTCTTGTCATTCATTTGAGGTTGCGACTCAAAATAGATTTTGGCATGAAAATGACTAAAATATATTTTTATGTGATAAGTTATTGTTGTTCTGTATCTCGAAAATCAAGTTTTTATGCACATCTAGAATTTGTGTTATGGGCTATAAATATTCATGCATCACAGTGATTAGTTCCTTTCTCCATCTCCCTCGTATTTGGTTAACTTAAAGTTGTTTTCTTGTTGTTTTTTAGTTGTTTTGTTATTACTTAGTTGTTACTCAGTATCTTGTTTATATCTCTTCGGCTTTGAATATATCTAATTTCAGACCTCTTATAATAGATGTTTATTTTATAATTTTTAATTTATTCTAAGATTAAAAAAATAATAGAAATTGATGGAAATCAAATCATATTGCAGACGTAGTAGTACTAATTAATCATTCTTTTCTTTTTTTTTTAGTTTATATGTTTGCAGAAGAAGAAGAAGAGGAGGAGAAAAAGAAGAACAGAGCAAAAAACGAAGTGTGAGAAGTAAGAGAGAGAAGAAAAAAGAGAAAGAGAAAGAGAGAGAGAAAAAAAGAAGTTATATTTTGAATTTTGATTACTATAACTTCTTATTCAAGCATTTTTGGAATTCATTATAACCCTTTTTGGAATTCATCATAACTCTTGACATTTGTAGAATTGTGTATTATAAATGGGGCAGTTATAAAATTTTCTCAAATATCAAACACCCCTTAACAAAAAGTCTTGCATCTCTAACCAATTAAACCGAATTTAATTTGCCATTCGTATGCAAATCACTGTAGCCATCTAAAAAATTCATTACATAATTATATAATATAGTGAACCAAACAAAAACTACATTCAATTCCAAAACAAGTTAAAATATTACCTTATCATATGGTAAAATTAATTCCATAAAATTTATGCCCTGTGGAACTTTTGGTCACCAGTCTTGACAAACTAGGACAGTAACTTGAAAAATCACACACTTAATATACGTATAATTTACAAAATTTTGCAGGTTCTCACCGGCAAATTAGGACAGTAACTTGCAATTTACTTTAAATTGTACGTCGATTATGCATTAAGTGCGTGATTTTTCAATTTACTGGTTGTTATACCTGAAGAGAAATGTTAGGAGGTGGTGGTTTGGCAGCAAGGTAGAAAACAATGAGCGCAATGGCAAGACTCAGCAAAAACCTCCAACCCAACTGCAACAGGACCCAACAACCCGAATCCGAATAACCAAACGTAAAATACCGAAACCACCCTCCACCGCCTGACTCCGAGCCCGATTTGGAGCTGTAGACGTCTGCATGGGAGGCGGTGGACGGGCTCTTGACAAAGTATAGTTCGTAGGGGTAGTTCGGGAATAAGGCCTCCTCCTCATCCTCCTCCGACGAGCTACCCATTTGTTGTGCCACTTGAGATTGTGTGTGTGTAGTGTGTGGTGTGTGTTGAGGAGTGTTACTTCTATATATATATGCTGAAAGCACTGTTTGCTTTGGAACAATCAACATATTCATGCTGCCAAATTTTTCAAAAGCTAAAAATTTTAGGTATATATATATATTTATTTTTTATTTGGGTAACACAAACATCTGATTGGGAATTGTTTGGATATAAGATTTATTGGTCTTGTCTTCGTTTTGTTTGGGTTTTTCTGGTTAATTAGGTTTAATATTTTTTTAAAAGAAAATTGTATAGTCAGTTAGTGAGATTTCGTGTTTATATTAAAATAATATTTAAAAATAAAATGATTAAAATTGGCTTTTCGATGCAAAAGAAGAAGATACGTTACCTGAAGTGGTAGTTAGTTAAAATTATGTAAGTAAATAAATAATAAACTAAAATTCATGTGATGTATAAGAGCATCTCCAATGCTCTAATGTTGTTATAGAAATTTTTTGATAAATGTCAAAAAATTAAATAGATTGTGAACCATGTAGGATAAATGTTGAGTTCACAACTATTAAATTAAAAAATCATCTCCAATGCACAATGTTGTCTAATTACAATATTATCTACTTGCTAAATAATAAAATATTAATATGAATTAATAAAATTAAATAAATAATTAAATGGTTTGCAGATGGTAATAATAGTTCTCTCTCTTCTCCTAATTGGCTAATTAGAATGTGGAATAGAATGTGGATGAACCACATTCTTCTCTACATTGTGGACATCAATTATGTCCACATCATCACAACATTTGTGATCACATTGTACATTGGATGATGAAAAATTGTGATATTAATAAATGTGTTGATGTGGAGTGTAATTTACCACTACAACATTGAGCATTGGAGATGCGCTAAGTGTCATCGATTGATATTATTTTTAAATACAGTGAGGACAGTGAGATTCGAGAAAAATTGAGTTAAAAAAATAATTAATTAAAAATGTTTCGATATTATTGTTTGAATATTTTAAGCATTTACTTCAAATGTTTGGCGGTAGGATTAAAGCGATGTATGCTATGTTTGGTAAAACTAGCTGATAAGCTAGTTGATAGCTGATAAGCTAGCTTATAGCTTATATGTAATTTTTGAGCTTATATCTTATAGCTTATGACTTATAGCTGAAAAAGTAGCTTATATAATAAAAGTGTTTGGTAAAATTAGCTGATAAGCTAGCTGGAATAAAAAATTCAACTAGCTTATTGAAAAGCTACCTAAACAAGCTTATCAAATAAGCTCGAGCTTTTTAAATAAGCTCGTCCTACCAAACGAGACTTATTTGAATACAAGAAGCTTATAAGTTAATCAAATAAACTATAAACTAGTTTATTTGATTACCAAACATAGCCGTAGGAACTCATAATTAGAACGACCCCAATGGAGCCATCAACTAAAGTTAGCCCGAAAAATACGGATTATAGATCTTATTAAATCAATAGTATAGGTTATTTCTTACTTTGCTTTACACCAAATTGTCGCTGCTTTTCATGACGGGAATCATAGCAAAGCGAGCACGCTTTTATCCACTATATTTCATTTTATTATATTATATTTCTTAATTGCCCTGATTTTTTATTTATTTATTTTTTTT